TTTTTACAAAGTCCAAAAAACTTTAGATGCTGACTAGCATTTATTTTTTAGATTTATCTACGAGCTGAAATAAGTAAATGATTTGAAATATATCAAATGTATCTTCTTTATCCAATAACATGTTAAGTCTCATTATGAATATGATAAATCATTTAGTTACTAATTCAAAAAAGATAGGATAATTAAAATAGATTAGGATAATAATGTAATATTTTAAAAAGTTAAGAGTAATATTTGGCCATGGATAGATTTTCTCGAACTCGTACTTTTAAAGGGAGTATGATTGATATGCACGTACAATACACGTGGTTAAATATCATGATTATTTAAATTAATAAAAAAAAGAATAAAAATAAAAAAAGATAAAGTTTTTTGTGGGATTGATCATCAACTCAATAATCTCTCTCTCAACTGAAATATCGTCATTATTTCCTTAAACCCAGACTGTGACCACGTGATTTACTATTTATGAGTTATAAACACATTAATCTAGTACAACATCTATGTTTATTAGTATCTTGAAGTCTTCAAAAGATGGGTGATCATTCAACCCGTAAAGGAATTTTTTATATGAATTTACTTGCATATGTCAATTAAACTTTTAGTTATAGTTTGACTCATATTCACATTAGCTTTTAGTTATGATTTCACTCATATTTACATTATATAATATTCTCATTCAATTTTATAGCTCATTCTTTGTACCATAAATGTAAAACTAAAAGTATGAAGAATTATTTTCTTGCGAAATTAGAGCAAGGAGATTATGATATATTTCGCCATGTGCTCTAAATATAAAAAATTCTTTTTCCTTTGATGCAAGATCCCTATCAAATCTTACCCTAAACGATGTGAATAAAAAAAATGCTATTATAACTCACTTGCCTAGGGTAATTGTATTATATATAGAACATATAACTCATTTGGAATATCCACATCTGCTAAGTGGATTTTGCTGTTGTGAGAGCAATATGTTAGAGGCTCGTATGCAAACTTTTTAACTCTATAAAAGACACAAGAATTTGGAGTGCATAGCTAATATGTCATAAAGAACATATTGGTTCATGGAGAAATTTCCCTAATAACGATATTATTACAACAATATTAATATTTAGCATTAAATCAATTTTATTATATAAGATTATATGACCATTTTTAATAAATTATAAAGTATATATATTGAAACCTCAATGCTTATAGCCAATAGTTGGGTTCCACAAAATAAGTTAAGTTTACATTGTAGTTTGCTATTTGTAGTAATGTTGGTAATATCATTACATTTCCTCTTTATCTTATTATTCATGCTTTTCTGATGTAAGTTCTCTTTTGCTAATCACTCAATTAGACATATTTAGTTTTTATAATATCAGAGGTTAGAATATTCTCTTCTGTTTAAAAAGTGTTGACATGATTTTTTTTAAAAGATATGTAAATATAGTAGCAATAGTATATATTTCAGTTCAACTCAAACATTGGCTTAAAATCATTTAAGGTGAGGTCCTTTCTACGCTAGAATGATGATATAGTGATTACACAATCTAAAAGTCAAAGAAAAAATTTCTACAAAGGAAAAATAATTTAATATATTAAATTAACAACTAATTTATAAAATATTCATGGGTGGTGCAGATAGCTATACAAAGTAATGTATATATCTTTATAAAAATTCCATAGTGAGTGACTAACTACAATCATCCTAATTTACGCATAAATAATTATTATTTTAGTTACTAATTTGATATGTATAACTATAAAATAAATCTCAAGCAAAAAATAGGAATTAAAATTGTATTAAAATTAAAAGTAATAATTTAAATTATTAAGCACCAAATATTAGTTCATGTGAGAAAGTAAAGTAATATATGGTCTATATACCTATATGTCAAATTAACAACTAATTTATAAAATATATCAAATTAACAACTAATTTATAAAATATACATGGGTGGTGCAGATAGCTATACAAAGTAATGTATATATCTTCATAAAAATTTCATAGCGAGTGACTAACTACAATCATCCTAATTTGAGCATAAATAATTATTATTTTAGTTACTAATTTGATACGCGTAACTATAGAATAAATCTCAAGAAAAAGAGTATTAAAATTGTATTAATTTTAAAAGTAATAATTTAAATATTAAGCGCCAAGTATTAGTTCATGTGAGAAAGTAAAGTAATCCATGGTCTATATACCTATATAGTCAATCAATCAAACGTACTATAATTATGATGACTATAGTCAAACTTATATAGTAGATTCACATTAAATATAATTTATAAAAAATAGTACATTAGAGTTAAAATCCTTTTAACCACTATATAAATTGCCTAAAATTTTTTGCATATATAAATTACACTGCTTAGGAACAGTGATGTGTTGTACACTTAACTATGGCCTAATAATCTTAAGAGCGACTTACTATTTAATATCATCATTAATTGACGTATCTATGCATTACACTGAAAATACAATGAAAATTTAGAAAACTACAAAAGAAACACCCTCAAAAACTTTAAAAATTGTAAAAAAACACCCTAAAAATTTATAGTTTACAAATACACAAAACTATTAAACATTACATTAAAAATCAAGGAATTACAAAAAACTATTGAAAAATTTTAAACTTTGGAGGGGTAATTTGCAATGTGCTAAACTTTAAGGGTGTTTTTTTTGTAAATTTCAAATTTAATAGATTTTCAATCATTTATGTTCTTTTCAAAAAAGGTATGGGTGATATTTACCATAAAAGGTTTTTCCTAAACCTATAATTTTAAAGTGAGTATGATATTTTTTGTAAAATTTTAATTTTTAGGGGTTGTTAGTAACTATGTATATTCATTTAGTGTCTATAGGTTAGAAATTCTCATGGTGTTTTTTTATAAATTATGAATTTTAGGGGTTTTTTGTATTTTTTTAAACTTATAGGCATTTTCTACAAATTGTAAATTATTTATAGACTATTTATAATTCATATGCTTTCAATTTACTAATGAGTTTGAAATTCTCAGAGTGTTATTTGTAAATTTTGAATTTTAAGATATTGTTTGTAATTTTTAAAAATTCATGAGTGTTTTCTATAAATTATAAATTATGTAGGAGATATTTGTTGTTCTGATATTTTCAATGTACTATTAGGTTAGAAATTATCATGTTTTTTTGTAAATTTTACAATTCTGAGGGTTTTATTTTACAATTAGTAAAAAGTTTAGTGTGTTTATTATAAATTTCATAAATTTTTGGGGGTTGTTTGTGTTATTTGTAGGTTTTTAGTGTGTTTATATTTTTAAAATTTTTAAGTTGTTTTTTATTAAATTTAAAATTTTAGGGGTGTTTTTATAATTTTTAAAACTTACAAGATATTTTCTCCAAAGCCAAAAAACTTTTAATTTCTAGCTTGCATATGTTTTTCAGATTTCTCACTGAATTAAAATAAGTAAAATTTATAATTTTCAAGATGTTTTAACAAAAATTTAAATTTGTAGGGGTGTTTTTGTAATTTAAAAAACTTGGAGGATATTTTTTACAAAGTATAAAAAAATTTAGGTGCTGGCTAGCATTTATTTTTTAGATTTCTATGCCAGCTAAAAGAAGTAAATGATTTGAATTATATCAAACGTATTTTCTTTATACAATAACATGTTAAGTCTCATTATGTATATGATAAATTATTTAGTTACTAATTCAAAGAAGATAGGATAATTAGAATAGATTAGGATAACAATGTAATATTTAAAAAAGTTAAGGATAATATTGACCATGAAAGATTTTCCCGAACTTGTACTTTTAAAGGGAGTATGGTAACATACTTCGTCGGGTTAATCGTCCTCTTTATGGGCCTAAATGGATATATTTTTATGTGTTTTTAAATATGTCATTAACGAGGTTTGAACATGGGTTTACAATACATATCAAATGCCTATTCCGCTCCAATAAAACTCTAAAATACGGTGAAAATTGAGACCTACAATTTAATAGTCTAACAAATTTGATAAATATACTTTCTTTTTTCAAACTCGAGTTTCACTCTACTATAAGACATGAACAGAACATTTCTTAGCAATAAATGTCTATTAAGAATATCCATTTATAATTTATCTTGAATTGAAGTGATTTATCCATTCATATTTTGAAGGAATCATGCTTATCAAGATATATCATTAAAAGCTTATAATTGAGATAGTGAAATACAAATCCATTATAACTAGGGTTAATTTCTAGAAACCCTATTGAACTTCATTTGTCTAATAAAAACCCTTGAACTTTGGGGCGTCTCACAAACCCCTCATGAGTTTTGTGACTTTTCTCACTGGTCCCCCCTTACATGTAACTTGCAATGGATAATTTTATTTAGAGATTTTAATTTTTTTCCCCTCATTTATCACTTGCAACCAATGTGCCCTCTCCTCTCTAAATCCCTAGAGTTGTGGGGCCATGTGAAACTAATCCAAACAAGTACACACTAAACATGCACATGCAATAAAAAAAATAAACAAGGAGAAAATTGCAAAAAGCTCCTAATATCCACTTGAACAATTTTTCAAAACGGACTGATTTTTTTTTTTTTCAAAACCGACTGTTTTTTTTTTATTTATCAAAATCGACCCGGTTTTGTGATTAGGCTGCTAATCACTATCCTAAATAGTCGGGGTTGGCAACCCCGACTATTTAGGAGGGTGTTAAACCCTAATTGGTTTTGAAAAAAAAAAAAAAATTCAGTCGGTTTTGAAAAATTGTTCTATCCACTTCATCTCGCCACCTACCCGCGAGTGCATCATCATCTGTCCTTTTTCCAAATCGCTCCGTATAAAATCCCTCTCTGGCTTTCCGTCGCCTCCTCTCGGATTTCTCGGACCCTCACTCAAACAAAATCAAGAAAGTTAAAACAAAATTCCAAAAAAAATAAAAAATAAAAATAAAAATAATTAGATCAGAAAATCAACAGCAAGGATTTAGGAGAGCCGCGAGCTTTGGGGGGGTCTCTCTGAGGTATACTCTCTTTCTACCTCCTTTTCCTTCTCCTAATTTTAGTACAATTTTTTTTCCCCAGATGTGATCGTCTGTCTCGAGACCCCAGAAATGGGTTTTTTTTTCATCCATTAATGGGGTCTCTTAGTTCTTACTCTTCTTAGTAAATTTCGGGAATTGTTTTTTTTGGGCTAGTTGATCGTTGTCATAGATGAACCGTATAGGATTTGGATATGAGAGGAACCCATTATTTTCTTTAACGAATTTTTTTTGGAGATACGAGGATCGGATTCCCAATAATGGAGTAGATATTTTGTAGAGGATGCCATCATTGGAATTTATGCTTTGCATCGATGGATTTAAGGTATTTGATGACGATTCCTTTTTTTTTTTTGCTTTGCTTTTGGCTTGATGGGATTTTTTGATTAACAGTAAATTGAATTTTAATTGCTGAGGCATTAGATTTCGATCTTCAGGAGCCTTGATTTTGTATCTTATTGACCCAAATCTTAATTTTTATAGAATTGCAAGTTTAGCCTGTAGACAGGAGAAGAAACTTTTAAGAGGCATGATTGAAATTAATGCATTGTTCAAGCAATTGTATTCGTATTGTTTTGATCCGGATAGGTGTTCATGTTAAAGAGATGTGATAACTGCTGCAGTTGGCTTAAGGGCTTGTTTGGATTGAGGGGAATAAGGGTGAAGGGAAGTTAGGGGAACCATTCACCTCCATTCACCTTGTTTGGGAACATTTAGGAGGTGAAGTTATTCACCCTAGTTCCCCTTGGTTCACCCCCTAATAGTATAAAATTTGTTACCCCTCAAATTGGGGTATAACCAAGGGGAAGGGAACTCCCTTCCCTTCCCTTCCATTCTCTCACTTAGTTTCCCTTAACTTCCCTTCACCCCCTACAAATCCAAACAGGCTCTAAGTGTTGCAAAATGAGCAATGGCTTTTGCTCCTAGTTGTGTAAAGTTGCTGCATTTTGATGGGTTGCTGTTAAAATTAGTAGGAGCTGTTGAGCAGGATAATCTTGTGGCAGTTTGATATTCTAATGTCATTTATGATCATATGGCTTTGAAAAGTGTGTGAACCTGAAGCAAGACAGCAGAAGTGAACTACCATGGATTTATCATACTGTTGCATTGATTTTGGAATCGTAGCTATGATGTCTGATGAATGACAATGGCATACACCGTAGCACAAGGACACATATTTTACAATTTGTTCTCTGGATAGTAACAGGGAAGCTTTTTGTAGCAGATTGCAAGGATTACTTATGTTCTTATTTGAAGTAAGTCAGTTTAGAGTTTCAAGAGTTATTAGTTAGCAAGCACACTAGTCATACTTGGATGACACTGTCACCACTACATGTTCGTTTTAAGTGGAAATTGGTTATAGCAGTTAGTTGCTAAGATGGAATATTCAGGTTATGGTCATTGATCTCTGCAGCTTTATTTGATAGTAATAATCAATATATGGTGAATTTGGCGCTGTGTATTTATTTGCATCAGTAGTCGGATGAATGTGGAAAGCACTTAACCATAAATTACTTATGAGCATTGGAAGAAATTCTTGTTATTTGCTGCTTTCACTCTCTTTAATCTTCATGTGATAAATTAGGAATTGAGGTTAAGTGCTTAATTTCTTTGTTATTTTTTGTAAGTCTTTGTACTCGTGTTTATCAGTGAACATGATATGTAAAATTGGATTGAAGCTTACATGTTGATGAACCTTGGACACATTCTTTTTCCTGCCATCGTCACTTGTTGATGGTCATTGTCGTCACTTTTTCCATAAGATGTTCCGATTGGTGTATATTCTCTTGTTTGTAATTCATTTCTTTCCTTTTTGTTATTTGCTCTCTTTCATGCCGTTTATTTCACGTTAATGTTATTAATTCGTTACATATCCAACATTATCAGAAACTAAAAGCCTTTTGTCCTACTTCATATAACATGTTTTTCTTTAGCGCGCACTTATGCGGAAATCCCCAACAGCATCATGCTTACTGAAAAGAACATTGAGAATAATTCTGAGAAGAGTTATCCTCGTTACTATCTTTCCCAGCAAAACCCCCTTCCTTTCCCTCTTACTCTCACACTTGTACGATCAATACTTCCTTTTATCCTACCCTGGTAATTTATTATGTCAGCAATCCTTTATGTCCTAGTTTTCTCGTCTTCCGTTTTTTGTCACTCTGCTTCTCCGTTTTGTCTCAATCCTCATGCTTTTATGATTAAAATGTTACTGGGCTTATCATTCACAATATCAGTTGTTCTTTGACTTGGTCTGCCGTTTTTTCCCCTCCTATATGTTAAATTAGGTGAAGCTCTCGTATCTTCTCGTAATTAGTATATTACTGATGTACTTTTGCCTATGAGCTGTGCTGCACTATATATGTGGTACCATGATGTGATACCCAAATGGGGCCAAAGAAATTTTGTTATTGAAAAGGGAAGCAATACGGAGAGTTTGATCCCCTCTGCTACAACACAAATAGTGATTAGAAATGGCGACCGGGATATAGGCATGTAGGCGTCAAAAATTACCTACGGGTTCCTGCACGCAGTTCGAGATTGATACGGGTGTATCTTCTCTTCGGAAAAGCGATCCTCATGAGAGCTTGAGGATAGGTGATTCTCATGATATTTTGAGAATAGTGGCGTGAAGCGACACGGCGGAGCACATGATGGAGCGTGAAGCATGATACGAGTGTATCTTCTCTTCGGGAGCTTAGCGATCCTCATGGGAGCTTGAGGATAGATTATTCTCATGATAGCATGAGAATAGAGGTGTGAAACAACACAGTGGAACGCATGTGGAAGCGTGGAACGAGACGACGAGCAGCAGATTCGAAGAATCCAGATTTCAGCCTGTGAGTCGACTCCGACGAGCAGCAGATTCGAAGAATCCAGATTTCAGCCTGTGAGTCGACTCATACATGTACATGAGTCGACTCATCAGATTTCAGCCTGTGAGTCGACTCATACATGTACATGAGTCGACTCATCAGGTTGAGTCGACTCATGCCCGTCATGAGTCGACTCAAGAACTCAAGCCCTGTTAGGAAAAAATCTCTAACCAGTCGACTCATCAGTTATGAGTCGACTCATTACTGTTCATGAGTCAACTCATCGGAGCTTTCCAAGTTCGTTAAGGATTATGTTTACGTGTTTTCATGTTTGGGTTTGGTCTGGTTATTTACCAGATTGTCATCACGTTGTAAACCCTATAAATAGGGACTGTTTAGGGTTCTAAACAGGGAGGTTAGAGGCCAAGGTGTAGATCTAAAGGTTTTTAGATCTAAGTGAGATCCTAATCAAAAGGATTAGGATTTAGATTGTGAGGATCTTAAAGGATTAGGATTTAGATTGTGAGGATCTTAGAGATTTTAAATCAGAGAGATATTCTAATCATTGTATTAGAGTTTAGAGAAGATTGAGAGGTTGTTCTCAATTCTAATGAGATTGTGAGGGAGAGATTTGTAATAATTGATTCTTCATAATCTAGAGAAGGTATTTTCTTTCGCCAAACTGAATTGTTCTTGTGTTTTAGTTGTCTTATTCTCAACCCACATTTTGGTAATTCCGCGACCAAAGGATGCTCGCACGGCGACTCGTATCAAGTTGGTATCAGAGCTATCAGATCCTGCGAAGGGGGTATCCTGTGTATGGTCCTGACTCGATCGTAATACAAGAAGCTTAGCGAGATCCTTTTCTTTGGAAGGAGTTCAGAGATTAAGAAAGAAGAAGATGACTGAAGTCAACAAGGATCGAGGGGCTCGAGAGTTTCCTCAGCTGAAGTTCTAACTTGAATGAGACTTCAAGTTTCTAAAAGGGGAACCCGTGATACGGGTGTATCTTCTCTTTGGAAAAGCGATTCTCATGGGAGCTTGAGGATATGTGATTCTCATGATATCTTGAGAATAGTGGTGTGAAGCGACACGACGGAGCACAGGATGGAGCGTGAAGCATAAAACGGGTGTATCTTCTCTTCGGGAGCTTAACGATCCTCATGGGAGCTTGAGGATAGATGATTCTCATGATAGCATGAGAATAGAGGTGTGAAACAACACAGTGGAACACAGGTGGAAGCGTGGAACGAGACGACGAGCAGCAGATTCGAAGAATCCAGATTTCAGCTTGTGAGTTGACTCATACATGTACATGAGTCGACTCATTAGGTTGAGTCGACTCATGCCTGTCATGATCGACTCAAGAACTCAAGCCCTGTTAGCAAAAAGTCTCTGACCAGTCGACTCATCAGTTATGAGTCGACTCATATGAGGTCATGAGTCGACTCATTACTGTTCATGAGTCGACTCATCGGAGCTTTCCAGATTCGTTAAGGATTTTATTTACGTGGTTTCCTGTTTGGGTTTGGTCTGGTTATTTACCAGATTGTCACCACGTTGTAAACCCTATAAATAGGGACTGTTTAGGGTTCTAAACAGGGAGGTTAGAGGTCAAGATATAGATCTAAAGGTTTTTAGGTCTAAGTGAGATCCTAATCAAAAGGATTAGGGTTTATTTTGTGAGGATCTTAGAGATCTTAGATCAGAGAGAGATTCTAATCATTATATTAGGGTTTAAAGAGAATTGAGAGGTTGTTCTCGATTCTAGTGAGATTGTGAGGGAGAGATTTATAATAATTGATTCTTCATAATCTAGAGAATGTATTTTTCTTCGCCAAACTAAATTGTTCTTGTGTTTTAGTTGTCTTCTTCTCAACCCACATTTTGGTAATTCCACGACCAAAGGGTGCTCGCACGGCGACTTGTATCAGAGATGAAAAAAATACGATAAATAATATTATCCGAGTCGAAGAGGATTACCTGACGTCGACAAGCGAATGAAGCGAGTCGACGAAGCGTACGAATCAACGGGACGACAAAATAGGAAAGAAACGATCCAATCAGAAATTACGTTTAACTCACAAAAGACGAGACACCATTTGTGTCTCGTCCGCTCTACGTATGATTCACATATGGGAGGTTGTAGATCTTTTTCCCGGCTTTCTGACGCACTTCGAATCACGTCGTTCCGAAGCTAGATCAGAAAGTTACGACAAAAACAGTCAAAAGAGGGAAAACAACGTCTCGGCCAGGGCCGAGACAGTCTTGGCCCCGAAAATGCTGTTTCACGCCTGTTTTTTACCGTTAACCGTCCAGATTTTGGTATATTCTGATCCAAAGCCTCTCCAACTGACTTAAACAGGATTTTAACTGAAGATAAGAGAGAATCGACTGTTCTTATCTGAAAACAAAGCTTCTAAAGCCTATAAATATGGTCTTAGAGACTTCATTTAGAGGGATCCGGAATTCTCGAGGCTTGACGAAACCCTACTGGATTGGAGAGTGA